AAGTAAGTTTTTTTTTTTAGTATTTTTGAGTCTTCCCAAAAAGAAACATGGTATACCTTTTCACTTTTATTGTCTTCTGTTGTGTTCTTTAGTAAGGTAATAATTTTATTTTATAATGGTCCTATACTTTTTTGTTTAATTTATTCCTAGGTAATTTTTTTTGCATTTATGAATGGGGTAATTTACTTCCACTTTTTTTTTTAACCAGGTTATTGAAAGAGTAGATAATAGGATAACTAATTTTACATAATTGTATTGTATTTAATTACTTTATTGAACTATGTTTTCTAATGGTTTTTCATTTGATTTTCTTGATTATTTCAGTAAACTGTCTTCTAATAATTATTTTCTGTATCTTTATTTCTTATTTCATTTCTGGTTTTATTATAGTGATCAGAAACTTTTATAACATATTCTCAATATTGAAATAATGGTAATAGGTGCCTTTGTCTAGTTCATCTACTGAGATGCTGAACAGATTTCTCCTTAATTCTTAATACTTGTAAAGTTCTTAACTTTTATCTATCTTTAGAAATATCATTGTAAACACTTTTGGTTACTATATGTATTTTTCACACCACATTATTTGTTTACCAAAAGTGGGTATGGGTGTTGGCACATAGGTACATAGACAAAATTGGTCCATGATTTCTTTCTTCATATTTGTCAGTTTTGGATAGACAAATTATACCAGCCTTGTATAATCATTAAGGAGGCTTTTTCTTATTTTTCAGCCTCTGTGACAATTTATATATCACAGAAATTATCTGGATCCTTGAAGATTTCACATAACAGCCCAGCTCTAAAACAATGTGGGCTTGATTTATTTTTTGTTACCTGATTTCTAGGGCAAACTTCCACAGTTTTACAGTGTCTCTTCAGTTTTTCTGCTTCTGAAAGCAGTGCTGGTAGTTTATACTTTTCTTGATGATTGTTGTTAAGATACTGTAGTTTATTGACATAAAGTTGCATGTGTTATTCTTCAAGAAATTTTAAAACTTTTTTTTTGTATTACCACCTTTCTTGTTTCTACTGGTGAGTTTTCTTCCCTTTTGATCTTCCATCCAACTTCTTGGAAAGAAAAAGCCTTTGACTATCAAATTGTTACATTATATTTTATATATCCTACTTTATGTTAGTTTATTTTATTTTCTAAATTCTTGAAATAAACTGTTTTCTATATTCAAATTTGATTTTCCTTTTTTCAGGTGGAGTCTCGCTCTGTTACCTAGGCTGGAGTGCAGTAGCATGGTATCAGCTCCCTGAAACCTCCGCACCCTGGGTTCAAGTGATTCTCCCGTCTCAGCCTCTTGAGTAGCTGGGATTACAGGAGCCTTCCACCATACCCAGTTAATTTTTTTGTATTTTTAGTAGAGACCAGGTTTCACCATGTTTACCAGGCTGGTCTTAAACTTCTGACCTAAGGTGATACTCGCTCCTTGGCCTCCCAAAGTGCTGGGATTACAGGCTTGAGCTACCATGCCTGGACTGGAAATTTTTTTGACTGCCAGCCCAATAAGTTTTGATATCTGTTATTCCCATATTAGTATAGTTTTTTATTTCTTTGGCTCAATAATCATTTAGAGCCATGTTTTTAATTTTTTTAAAGCATTTAGCTTGGAAGATATCTCTCTTTATAATTCCTATTTGTATTACAGTATGGTCAAAGAATATGGCCAATATTATTTCAGTCCTCTGCAATATGAAGTAAGTTTTCTTCATTTATTGGCACTGTCAGTTTTTTAAAAATGGCTCATAAACATTTTAAAATACATGTAAACTTTCTTAACCAACTTTATTTAGAAATAAGAGCAGTAAGACTTAGAGGATTATGCACCTTATTTTATGTCACAGTTACTTGTAAGTGATTTATCTAGCTTTCTGGATTTTAATCTCTTCAGTTTCCCATTAGATTTGACTGCCTCCAGAATATAAATGTTTATATATATAAATAGTTACATAAAAAAACAAGTCCATAAGAAGTTGTAAATTTAGAACGTGGTTTTATAACATTTAGAAACGTATATTATTTAGAATATTATTTAGAAATCATTTGCATCTTTAGAATTGAGTAAAGTCTCAAAAGCATGACTTAAACTAATTTTATTGAGTGGGTCATCTGTAGGTAGATGGGGAATGAACAAGAAAGGATATCACACATATGGAGAACTGAAGGAACAAAGGCCTGTGTGCATTTGTGAGAAGACAAACCTAACCTAGATTGAAGAGAGGTCCTTCTTGGAGGGTGATAGGAATATGACTGAATAAATGACATTGAGCCTGAGTAAAGGTCTAGTGAAAAAGTTAAAAAAATTAAATACAAAGTAGTTTTGTCAGTGACTAGTATCACATTTCATTTTGCAAATGCATGGTGATTTCATTGCAATGTCTGTGATAATTAATTAGCATAGGTCACCAAAATATATGGGCAAATATAATTCTAGAACAGGATTCTGACGAGGTAGTATGAGGCAAATGAACATATTGTTAACTTTACTCATAATGGCAGATTGTATAGAACTCTGCTACATATACCAACATGGAACATCTGTTGAGAATTTGAATGGATATGATTCCAGTATATTTTAAAAGCCATAAAATTTCTTAAGGAAGTATATAAAAATAGGAAATGCAATTATGCTGGTTAAAATGTTTTCTTGTATGTCTGAAAAACAGCTCCAGGAAATTTAGAAGTTTAAACACCTATATATTGAAAATTACTGTGACTTCGGCAATGTGCTTATGAAAATTAGGAGAATCTTAAATTCAGCAAAATCAAGAGTTGGACCTATAACCTTAGAGTATAAGAGGTTATATAATTTGGTTTTATAATAGAAATCTGCTATTTACTAAAATAGCTTCTATTTTGAAGGTAGGTAGGCGAATCATGAACACTTGTGGAATCATTCCATATATGTAAACCTACAGTAGTATTTTAGGAGACTCAGTACAAATTTGTTTTGGTCATGCTATTTTGGACTAAAGTATGATATATGAAATATTGGAATATTCTCAAAGCCTATTACAGGTTGAGCATCCCAAATTCAAAATTCAAGATCTGAAATACTGCAAAATCCAAAACATTTTGAGTGCCATCATGATATTCTAAGAAAATTGGAGTATCCTGGATTTCGGATTTTCGGATTCAGGATACCCAATCAGCATAATGCAAACATTCCAAAATCTGAAAAAAATCTGAAATTGAAAACACTTCTGGTCCCAAGCATTTCGGATTAGGGATACTCAGTCTATAGCCTGTGACAATCATTGTCTCAGGTCCATATCAACAAAACAGTAATTGATTGTTTATGTTTTAGATTTATTCTCAATTTAAGTATACTTTATTATATATGTGCCCTCCCCATAATAGGAAGATTTTAATGAGTTCCAAGCAAAGTTTAGAACTAATTAGGTACACAGTAAGTGTTAATAATCTTAAATATTAAAATACAGTTGATATGTATGGCTGTTATATATTCACAGCAGTGATAAGGCTTTGGAATGACGTGTATATCTTCAAAAAAAGCTTTTTTAAGGGAAAAGCATTTTAAACTAATTTGTTCTCTTTTTCTATTTATAGTCTTATGCTGCACAGTAATAATCTATTAGCCTTCCTTTTAATGAAGTCTAATATTACATAACTAGAATATTTCATTTAATATTTATCAGTTATTTTTTCTCCCATCTGTAAAATGCAACTATATAGGTCATAAGAATTACTTAAGAAAGGCATGTATTTTTTTAAACTAAAAAAACTCTTTAATGGAATGGATTTTTGTAATCTTGTGTGAAGCCCAAAGTGTTTTATAGTTATTAGAGCTAGAATTTGCACATAAGTATAATATAAATGAATATAAAAAGCTTTATCTTAATCATATGAGACTCTTATACATAGCAATAGTTGATGTGTAAGTCTGTAGATATTTCTATATGATCAAATATTTTTTAGATTTCGCTTATGTGTAAAAACATTAGTGTTTGTTATTTCCCATTATTATTTGTATATTATGAGATATTTTTGTTTATAAAGAAAAACTAAGTTTAAACCTCAAGGTAATAAGTGATAATATATAATCATTATTATTCTTACATTAATAAGATACAAATACTGTTGAAGTAGTAAGTACTTCTTTTTGTGATAATTGTAATCCCAGGGCTTGATGTTGCATTCCTTATTTGTGGGCTATTCGGATAAAAGTTAATTGAAGTAATATGACCATGCATTTAAGAGCCATTTTCTTTCAGATTTGAGTATGGTTGGGAGTTGTCTATCAACCCTAGAATTTTGGTATTCAAAACTGATGCTTAGAAAGGTAAAACAGAATGGGAAAACTTATCACCTTCATCTTATGATGTCTGTGACTAGACTGACTGGGCTCTGATAAATTGTATAAAATTACTCACATAGTAAGTTTAGACAGATTATTTTACCACTTTCATGTGTGGAAACAAAACCAATGTTTATATAGTGAAGGGATAAAGAAGGGCCTTTATGGCTGGGCGTGGTGGCTCTGGCCTGTAATCCCAGCAGTTTGGGAGGCCGAGGAGGGCAGATCAGTAGGTCACGAGTTTGAGACCAGCCTGGCCAGCATACTGAAACCTCATCTCTGCTAAAAATACAAAAAATTAGCTGGGCTTGGTGGCGAGCGCCTGTAATCCCAGCTACTTGAGAGTCTGAGGCGGGAGAATTGCTGGAATCCTGGAGGTAGAGGATGCAGTGAGCCAATGTCACACCACTGCACTCCAACATGAGACTCCGTTTTAAAGAAAAAAAAAAAAAAAAAAAAAAAAAAGAAAAGGACTTTGTGGTCAGTTACTCAGAAAATTATTTGAGACTATGGAATATGGGACTGTGTTTTTAGATGCACTGCCTTGTTTGTAATGCTTGAAAAGCCAAAAAAGAAATGGTTTGAATGCAAGAAGAATTAAACTTATAATATTGAAGGATTTTAGGTATTTAAATAATTAACCAAAATTGTCATTTTCATTGCGTTTTCTAGGCAATTAAGTTGGAATATGCAAGGTTGGTTAAGTTGGCCCAGGAAGACACCCCACCAGAAACTGATTATCGTTTACATCATGTAGTGGTCTACTTTATCCAGAACCAGGCACCAAAGAAAATTATTGAGAAAACATTGCTAGAACAATTTGGAGATAGAAACTTGAGTTTTGATGAAAGGTAATTTGAAAATATAAAATTTATATGCTCAAATTGTTCTTTTTTACCTGCAGATTCCCAGGATAATTTTTTGAGTATTTATTTTACACACGCATGGACACATTTTTTAAAAAAAATGCATGAATGACAAAATTTGAACTCAGTGCCTCAAAAAAGGCAACTGTTATGGCCTTTTGAAGTTTGAACTGAAAATAATATAGATCATTTTAATAAATTTTAATTGTGAATCAATCACTGCACTTATTACACAATATTTTAGAGACCAAAAAATGGGCCTCTCAACCTCTGTACTATAGACAGTTTTTTTTTCTTTGTATACAGATTTATTTAGATTGAATTTATACACCATGTTTCTTAAGGATATTGGCCTATAATTTTCTTCTCAGAAGTATATTTTCTTGCTTTGATATCAAGGGGAAGCTGACCTCATAAAATGACTGAAGGTGTTACCTCTTTTTTCTATTTTTTCAAAGAATTTGAGGATGTTCTATATTAAATTTTCTTTGAATGTTTGGTAGAATTTACCCATGAAGTAATCTGGTCCTAGGCTATATTTTTGAGTTTTGAAAAATTACTTCTTCAGGTCCTCTATTTGTTATTGGTCTCCTTAAGCTCTCCATTGATTCTTCATTCAATCTTGGTAGGTTATATGTTTCTACTAATTTTCTCATTTCTTCTAAGTTGTCAGATTTGTTGGTGTATAGACAGTTTAAATTAGATAGTTCTTTGCTGCTAGGGCTATCCTATGATTGTAGGATATTTAATAATATCTCTCATCTCTGTTTGTTAGTGACAGTAGCAGCTTCCAAATTGTGGCATATCAGAATATCTCCAGGTATTGCCAAATAACTCCTGAAGCAAAATCACCCTTATTAGAGAATTTTTATAGGACTTTCTAAATGTTTCTCTGAATAGTTTTATAGGACTTTCTGAATATTTCTTTATAGAAACTTCTATAAAACTTATGTTAAAAATCACCATTTAATTAGAATGAATAATTTTAAGACCCATATGAGGGGTATTGCAAGTTATTTGTTTATAAAAACATTTGTGCTGTCTTGCAGTTCATTGTAATTATATTTTAATTCTCACATAAATGATTATTCTTTCATGAATGTCTCTAAAATACTGCATTAAAGTGTGTAGCAAAGAAGAATATGAGGGGAAGCAAATTTTCTGGAATCAATTCCTGCTTTATGTATGTGCTGTGAAATAGATTCTGTGCATAATACAAGTAAATAGTTTTAAACAATATCTGATAGGTGGTTGAATGCTCAATGAATATTGGCCAGTACTATTTGTGTTAGTAGCAGTATGAACATAATTTATTTTGATGCATATGACTGCAGAGAGTTCAGAAATCGGGTTGTTGTGACCCTTGTTATCTGTGCTGTGAGTGTACTGCTTTCCGTTGGATCTACGCTGTTTAATTTGGAGAAGATATTAATGGAGTAATCACATTGATTTTTCAATCCTTTGCAATTATCTGACTATAGTCAGTCTGTTTTGATAACCTGAGTTGTGCTTGAAAGACAGAGTTAAGCGCGTGTGGTTAAATATATTTTGTGGGGATTTCTTTATCAATGATTCTGATTATAAAATCCACTGGAATATTTACATTTTTACCTGTGATTATAGGCACATTTTTGACTCTAGCATTTAAGGATAAATAATATCATGTGGGGGAAAAAGAAGATGCAGTGTCTCTTGAGCTTGCTTAATAGATGCACATTGTTTTTAAAAAGTTTCGCTTTTTTTTCCTATGGAAACTGTGTTAATAGAATGTAATTTAAAAGCCAAAGCCATATATCAATACAACACAGTAAATTTAAATTAGAATTACTCCTCCTGTCTTCTTGTTAATTTTCCAACATTGGTCCCAAAAAAGTTTTCACTTGAGTTTATTTAGGATTTGTTTCTATAAAAAGGTATTGCTGTTTTTGCTCAGCGTTTATGGATTTTGCTTTTGTAAATACATATATATATATTTATGTATTTATAAATCTATTGTATTTTTTTAAAGGTGTCACAACATAATGAAAGTTGCGCAAGCCAAATTGGAAATGATAAAACCTGAAGAAGTGAACTTGGAGGAGTATGAGGTAATGTGCTCTTTTAGATGTTAAACTACAGATTGAGAGATTCTGTAATTCACTGATACTCCTTTTATTTCAGCACAACTGAAGTTGGATTTTTATGAATGATGAGTAAAAAAATTAAGTTTCCAAGTCAATGCTCAAGTAATTAATACTTTTATAAGTGAGATAGCATGTAGGCCAAAAAGTTTAAAATGAAAAAAGGAAGATTTTTTGTTTTCTTTTCAATACTAGTTCTCAACTACTTTTTAAATGAACCTTTCTAGCTTAAACACAAAGTAACAAATACATTATTTATTTTGAAATCAACTTAGAAATTGCTGATACATAATATTAATAAGTAATATTTATCAAGAGCCTACATATGCCAGGCATTTTTCTAAGCCCTTTGCATATATTAACTGATTAAATTCAGACAGTAACACTGTGAGGTGGGTAGTGTTCTTATTCTCATTTGACACATGAGAAAATAAGGCATAGAACAGTGAAGTGTAACCTGCCTAACGTTTTCACAGCTACAAGTTTACAGCTTGGCTAACGGAACCTACGTTCCTAACTGTTGTACTACACTGAAGGTGGGCTATATTTTTCTTTCACTTTGATTTATCAGATATATTTTGAGGAAGTTAGAGATTCATTTTTGTCATTATATGCCATACATTTTTGTCATTATGATACAGTGTTGGGTGAGAGAGCACTTACATAGGTACTTGTACATGTGATTGTGGGATTTTTTTGTGCACAAAATTATTTTTGTCAACTTTGGCTTTAAAATATTCTTTATTTTAATTGATGAATTCATACACCTAGTATTTCTTCAAATTTTAAAATTTAACCTTATACATTGTCTTTTTAAAATGTATAAGTCTAGTAAATTTTAAGTTTTTTTCTTGGGTGCCTTTGCTTAATATTTGCTTCCATTTACAAACTTAAAGGGTACTTTAGATTCCCTCAAACGATTAGTTCACCACATAAACAGAGAATAGGAAAGATAGAGAAAACATTCATTGTTGATGAAAATCTTAGCTAGCTTGGCTTGGCATATAGAGTGTCTCTAAAAACAAAAAACAATAAAACTGCAGCAAATATATAGAATTGTGAGCATTGAAAGCTTAAATTTTTTGTTATCAAAAACAAGGGAATGAAAATAAGTGAAAAGTAAGACATTGGAAAAGGAAAAAAAAAGATTATTTGTAGTGTTTTTTTTACCTTGAAATTCAGATGAAATCTACAGGTGATTTATTACAACTAGTAGGAGAGCGTTGCAACATACAAACTGTGTCAATTCAATTATATTGAATAAAATTGATCCAAGGTTTATATATTATTGAATATCAGTTTTATTCCCTTATGCCAGTAAAAAAAAAAAATTAGAAAGTGAAATATATAAAAGTGAGACCATTGATAATAGTATCTGAAACTATGGCTTATTTAGAAATAAATTTAACAAAAGGTGTGCATGACTTCTGTGGGGAGAATTATAAAACTTGTTGGGAGACATTAATAAAGACCTAAATAAGTGGGCATATATATATATATATATATATGGTATTTGGAAAACTTGATATTATTAATATATAGGTATTACTTTTCCCCAAATACTTTATAAATTCGGTACAGACCATATGAAAATTCTAGCCAGATGTTTTATGGAGCTTGATAAGCCGAATGAAAAATGTTACGGAAATGCAAAGATCCCCATCTACCTCCCATCTCTGTTAAGCAAATTAGTGAAGAGTGGAAAGACTTTTTAATAAATGGTTCTGCAAAATAAAATTTGATTTCTTCTTCATTCCATATGCAAATATTCATTTCATTTGTGAAAGGCTCCTATGTAAAGCTCTTTAGAAGTCAACATAGGTAGAAGGACAAAGGCATTCATTTATTAAGAGGCCCTCATTGACCAGATTTTTGACCAGCATTTGTAATCTGGAGCCCAAGATACTCAAAATCTGTTTTCTCTTGACCATGAGGAGCAAGTCAAGTCATCTTTTAGCTTATGATGACTCCAAATCTGTACCCTTCAAATTGATTGATATCTCTACCCTGGTCCCTAGGATTCATATTCATGGGACTTGATTTTTAATTGTGACTTGATTCTACAATGCTTCCTTCAGTTCTCTTCAATGGATTGGACTCAGCATATTTTTATTCACAAACCTCATATTCTAACCACAGGGCCATTAAATCATACAAGAATTTAAATCACTTGTTTTTAAGATTCTGCATATTCCTCATATCTTTGTCTTGCCTTAAGTTCAGGGTTCAGCAAACGTTAGCCTACAGACCAGCTTGTTTTTATAAAGGAAGTTTTATTGGAACATGGCCATTTGTATACATATTGTCTGTGGATGCTTTCACGCTGCAGTTAGAGAGTTGAGTAGCTGAAGAAAATGAGACTTTCAGAGTGTAAAACATTTACTTTCTGGCCTTTTACAGAAGTTTGCCTACTCAAAACTTCCAAGGCAGTTCTAATGATAGATAACAAGGAAGGACAGTTTCAGTACCTTCTCCAGAAAAGCTAACTTTATACTTGCAGGACAAATTTTACCTTTATTTGTTATTAAGATTTACTAATAGCATGAAAATTATATCTCGAAAATTAAAATTAGGGCTGGATGTGGTGGCTTATGCTTATAATCCCAGCACTTTGGGAGATCAAGGCACAGGGAATTGTTTGAGGCCAGCAATTTGAGACCAGCCTGACCACAAAGCAAGACCCTGTCTGTACAAAACACATTAAAAATTAACTGGAACTGGGAGGTGCTATCTGTAATCCCAGCTACTTGGGAGACAGACGTAGGAGGATTGCTGGAGCCCAGGAGGTCGAGGCTGCAGTGAGCCAGGATCATGCCACTGTACGGCAGACTGGGCAACAAAGTGAGACCCTTTTTCCAAAAAAAAAAAATATATATATATATATATATTCAAGGAGAATATGGTTGGCTAATAACTTGTCTGTGTTTCTTATTTTTGTTTATAATGTTTATATAAAAGCCTTAACATTTTTGTTATCTGTATTCTCTTTTTGATTTATCCTATATTGAATTTCAGTTATTTTTCTTGAGTCAGTTATTATAAAGTAAGTTAAGAAAATCTTGACTTTGTTCTCTTCAAGAGTTACAGTGTATCACCTTAGAATTATTTAGTCCTATTACATGCCCTATAGTTTTTTTTCGGTGGGGAGAGGGACATTGAAGTGTGAACTGCAGCTGTTCTGCTACCATATCTCATGTAAATAAACTATTTATATACCTACTTAATCCAAATTTACCACAAATTTCCAAAGTTAAAAGGTTAAATAATCATAACTTTTTTTTGGTTTCTTAAAATTATGTATCAAGTATGTGTTCAAGCTTTGATTCATACTCAGTGTAATAATTTCATTTCCTTCCTACTGTCAGTTGATGTAGGTACAATAATATTTCAATAATGTGATTTTATACTGATGACTTTTTGAGAGATGACCTAATTGATTATCCTGCCTTTATATTTCTGTAATCTGCTAGTAAAGTATTTATTGTTTAATTCCATATCAGTGTTTAACAATTTTTAGATTTAATGTTATAGTAATAAATATAAATAATCTTGTTTGCCAGAAAGTAAAATCTTGTTTTAGGTCTAATGTATCTTAATTTTGAACTCTTTGTTTCTGTTACTTCAAATAGTAGCAAAGCAGTGTGCTACTTTTTGGACAATTTCATAGTAGTTTTTAAATCTTACTCTGAATATTTTTAATATTTTCTTTCTCCTACAGGAGTGGCATCAGCATTATAGGAAATTCAGGGAAACAACTATGTATCTCATAATTGGGCTAGAAAATTTTCAAAGAGAAAGGTAAGGCAAAGTGGACAAATAAGAAAAAAGCATAATTTTTGTACCTAATTCTATTCAGATATGACCTCATCCATGAAAAAGATTTTACTCACACTCTCTATTTTTAATAAATGTTTTATTTTAAGTCAGTTTTAGATTTACAGAAAATTGCAAAGTTAATATAGAGGCTTTCCATATACCCCACATAAAATATATTTTCCATTTAAAAATAAATTTTTAGGTTGGCATTAGTGTCTATCTTCATCAGGTCTCAAATACACTTAAAGCTGAGTCTGATCTTGGTATCAAATCAGAGATAGTGTTTGTAGTCTGTCTTTGTAAACTTCCAGGTACTATAAAATGTGTAGCTGTAGAAAATTTCTGAGTACTGTGACTTTAAACAAATTTTAATTAATTTTTATTTAAATTAAATATAGTCTTAAAGGAATTTTTACTTAATTATACTATTAGTTTAATTGTGAATTATTAAGCAGAAAGGATACATTTTGCTTACATTTCAGATTATTTACTAGTTTGCATGTACTTCTCCACATATTTCTTACTTCCTATTGTTTAACATTAACTTGACTGTGATTGTTTTTTGAGAAAATGTTTTATTTTCAATGCAGTGTATATTGTAGCCAAGTAAAAGGGATTATTTTTCCTTTCCCTTGTTTTTTTTAAATGAAGTTTAAGATGCTCTCACTTAGGTAAAGACACTGCTTCTTTTTCAGAAAATGAAACAAAGATCAAAGTTTAATTATGGAGCTATACTGTCCAACGTAGTGGCCACTGACCTCATGACAAAACTTAATTAAACTTAAAACTAAAAGTTCAGTTCGTCAGTTGAACCAGCCACGTTTTGGTAGTTCAGTAGCCATATGCAGCTAATGATCTCTATTTATGGCCAGCACAGAACATTTCCATAATCACAGAAATTTCTTTTGGATAATACTATTCTAAAGGACAATACTTCATTTTTATATTAATAGTTACCAAAATTTTTAAAGTTACCACACAAAAGGAAAAAGTAACATTTACTAAACAATTTAAGTACAGATTATTTAAAGTCCTAGTTATTATGCTATTCATAAGCTGATTTCACTTTGGTCATTGATGTAGACAGCTTACTTTGATCCATACCTTCATTTTATGAGTTGTGTCAGTCAAGATTTTATTTCTTTAATAGGAATATTCAAGTCTAGTGTTAAGATTTATAAGATTTGTGCTGATACGAGAAATATTAATATGATTGTATAATTCAATAGAGTAAGATAAGAAAAGGCATTTCAGTGTTACAGATAAAGAAATCAGACTTCACAGAGATGTGGTAACTTTGTCAAGATCACACAGCTAACTAAGAAGAAAAAAATTAAAATAGAGACCTCTGTGTTCTTGTATAATTTAATGAAATCATGTAAATATAAAACGTATTCATTTGACTCAGTAAGAATTAAAAAGATGATACTGCACTTTGTACCTATCTAGATAGCTTCTATATTGGTTCTTCCCAGTTATATTAAGGGAATTTAAGACATAACTTGAAAATATATTTAAATTTTATAATTTGCTTGTCACTTTTCAAATACTTACTCAGAAAGCTAATATTCCAGTATAGTAAATGCTTATCAAATTAGAAGGATTAACTAGAAAATTAATAATGGTGACAGATATTACTTATGGAATATCTTTTAAAGAAATATTGGCTTCATCACTTTAAATATAACTGTTGTAGCTAGCTGTGTGTAAAATATTGCCAAAAGGTTCAGACAAAATTGTTTTTAATGAATACGTAAACATTTAAAGCCTTGAATGAAATGCTTACTTATGGACCCTTGTCAGTTCTGTGAATAGTGAAGTGAAATCATGGTTGCAAGAACCATAATTTTATAGCAGCACAAGTGGAAGATAGAGTGTACCATGCTACATGATCTTATTTTGTCTTATATAATATAATAATTAGACTGCTAAATCTTATTCTGAATTTATTTGAATATACATTTGTAACCACTTTAAAGTTTGATAAAATTTGGAACATTTTGTGTAATCAGTAGGAAATTGGAACACGTTTTGGTTTCAGAGCAGTTCTCAAAGAGGTGACTCAGGTCTAGAAAGCCAGATGTGAATGTCATTCAGAAGAGATCTTCTTAACAGGAAACCCCTTAGCTATAAAGGAAAAGATAGATGTGCTACTTATTGATGAACAAACTACTACAACTTAATGTTATAACGCAACATTTAATATTATAATTTCCTTTGTTTTTCGTAAATAAAATCTTTAGCTGAGAATATGTTTAATTAAACATGTTAATTTAATTAAACATAGCTGCGAATATGTTCAAAATAAAATGTTATACTCAAATTAATCTCAAAAACAAATCCTTAGAAAGCCATTTTCAAAAAATGTTTAAAATAAACTTATTGGTCTGGCGCGGTGGCTCACGCCTATAATCTCAGCACTTTGGAACGCCAAGGCAGGGGGATCACGAGGTCAAGAAATCGAGACCATCCTGGTCAACTAGGTGAAACCCCGTCTCTACTAAAAATACAAAAATTAGCTGGGCATGGTGGCGCGCACCTGTATTCCCAGCTACTTGGGAGGCTGAGGCAGGAGAATTGCTTGAACCCAGGAGGCGGAGGTTGCGGTGAGCCGAGATCACGCCATTGCACTCCAGCCGGGGCAACAAGAGCAAAACTCCGTCTCAAAAATAAATAAATAAATAAATAAATAAGTAAGTAAGTAAGTAAGTAAGTAAAAGTAAGTAAACTTATTTATCATGACACCTTCAGGTGTATAATTTGGTTTGCCATGAATGTATACATTCATTTTTGAATAATTTTACATTTAACGTTTGGGGTGTGAAATGGATTCATTTTGTGTCTAAGTACATGAATTAAGTAATTATAGAGTTTAAAATTGTGTTTCTTTACAATACTTTATTTTTTAAATTTTACATTTTCCATATTACTCTTACATGTTAGAAGGATAATTCGTTTGGAGGTAAAAGTAATTCTTTATTATATATTTTTCTCTTCCATTTTTGTTTTGTTTTGTATTTTTGAGTTGGGTCTTGCTCTGCTGCCCCGGCTGGAGTGCAGTGGTGTGATCATAGCTCACTACAGCCACTAACTTCTCAGCTCAGGAAGTCCTCCCACTTCAGCCTCCCAAGTAGCTGGTACTACAGGCATGTACTGAAAGGCCCAGCTAATTTTTTTAAATGTTTTTTTAGAGACGAGGATCTCACTATATAGGCCAGGGTGGTCTTGAACTCCTAGCCTCAACTAATCCTCTCACACCACCTCCCAAAGTGTTGGAATTACAGGCATGAGCCACTATGCCTGGCCTGTTTTCTTCCCTTTTTAAAACCTAATTTGAACTTCATAATATCTAGACTTAGTATAACACATAGGCCTAACTCCATCAGCTTTTTTATGTTTGGGGGCTTTTTGTTTTTGCTTTATTCCATTAGGTTTCCCAGATTTAGAAGCAGTCTTTCATTTTTCCACTTCCTCTATCTCCTTTAGATATTCTTATTTTTTTTTTTACCCTTTTAACCTTTTTCTCAGTTACTACACCTGTCTGCACATAGAAAAGAACCTAAGTAGTCATTGAACAAACTAAATGATGTTTGTGATCATAAAACAAGGTAACCTGAGTTTTTACTTTACCTGTGACGTTGTGTTAAACAAGTAGGTTGCTGACTTTCACATTAGCTTCAATTTGGAGTTTAAATGGAAGTCACCAGGAATATAAATACCAAGGAAGACAGAACTACCTGAATTTATCAGTTACTGCCTCTTTTCCCAGTTTTTTGCTTAATTTGTAGCACCTATTTTATTTTGTACTTTTAAGATACAACTGTCTCCTGGTTTTAGATGTTGCTGTTGCTAAAAAGGTGCTCTCAGGCATATATTGCATCAGATGATATTTTTTATTATAATGTAGGTACTCAAAACTGAAGCTTATACTTAAAATGTTTTATAATTGTAGCTGACTTTGTTTCTACAAAGGTGAAATACTAATGCCATATGTTTCTTTTTAATTTTTAAGTTATATAGATTCCTTGCTGTTCCTCATCTGTGCTTATCAGAATAACAAAGAACTCTTGTCTAAAGGCTTATACAGAGGACATGATGAAGAATTGATATCACATTATAGGAGAGAATGTTTACTAGTAAGTTGAATGCATATAGTATGATCTTATCATTTTGTTTTACATTGGGCAAATTTTCCAGACTCATATATAAGTGACTGACTCCATAAATTCTGATGGGATAAGAATATGGTGATGTCTATAAACTGGTTCTTTTCCCTTCAGATGGCAAAGTACCCTCAGTACTTAACTTTTTTCTCTTCATAAATCCCAAGTCCTGTAGGTGATAAATGAGAAATGTTCTTAAAATAGCATCAGATTGTTTACATTCATATATTTACATTTCTTCATCCCACTACCACTGCATTTTTTGGTGGGAGAGTAATGGATGCATATATCAGCCTTAAAAAAAGCTTTATGTAAGTCTATAAGAATATGCATGGAATGTATGAGAGTAATTTCTATTTAACTTAAAAATTGAATTTTGAGGCATAAGAATAGTATAGCTGATTTTAAACATAAATACAACAAACACTTGATGGTTCCTTTGAAACATTCAAAAAATGGTATAAAATTTCTCATCATTTTTTGTTAATAACCCAGCCACACTTGGTTATTTTTCATCGGAATTTAAATGAAACCTCATAAAGATTACTTTAATGTTCCTTTCAGGTTTTTTCATATTACATATTTATAGAGTGTCAGATTCTGAGGGATACAAACATGAGTCAGATGCACTTCCTGTCCTCAGAAAACTCAGTCTGGTAGGAAACATACAGAAATGATCGTCGTGTCTGGAATAATTGCCATTATAAGAAATATGCAAAATGATATGCCTGAAATATTTGTGAAGAACCTTAAGAGAGAAGATAAACCCTGATCTGGATCTTGATGGATAAATAGGAGTTTTATTAATGATAGAGTACGTAACAGAAAATCGAGATAAATTCATTGTGGCTAGCCAGGTTATGAGGAAGTGGGGTTAGGTGGAAGTAATGAAACTGGCAATACTTGTTGATGTCAGACGATAAAGAAACTTACAGGACATTCAAATGAATTTGCACCAGTATAAGTTTGGCATGATGAGGTTTTCAGAAAAGAATTCTGATAAAAATAATAGCATACTAGAGGCTGGATAAGAAAGAAGTAGATTGATGTCAGTAACCTTAGAGGGGAAAGTCAAGTGATGGAGGGTGAGGGCCTCAACTCAGGTAGTACAGTGGGTATGATGGTGGAGGAAATGAAATGAGGGCATGTCATAGCTGTTGGGTGAGTGGGAAGAAGGAAATGGAAGAATCAAAGCTGCCAAACTTTCTAGTTTTTCATTTAGTATTGGGTAATCTAATAGGAACAAGGCTGGCTTTGAACATGTTATATTTAAGATATTTCTAGAACAGTCTTTGATTCAGTGAATTTAACATTAAACTTATTAAATTTTATGTATCTTTTAATGCATACTTCCAAAAATTATAGTAGATACTTGAAGACTTAGCTCATTTTATTCTCTTAAACCCTATGGATGGAATATAAAATAATACCCTACTCTTAATGTAAAGAAAGTGAAAACAAGAGATTTAGCTATTTTATTCAAGATTGGTGTACTAGTCCGTTCTCATACTGCTCTAAAGATACTACACAAGATGGGGTGGTTTATAAAGGAAAGAGGTTTAATTGACTCACAGTTCCACATGGCTGGGGTGGCGTCAGCACCCATGGAGGAAGATGAAGGGGAAGCAAGGACCTTCTTCCCATGGCAGCAGGAGAGAGAAGTGCAAGCAGGGGAAATGCCAGATGCTTATAATACTGTGAGATCTTGTGAGCCTCACTCCCTGTCACAAGAACAGCATGGGGGAAACTGCCCCCGTGACCTCATTACCTCCCACCAGGTTTCTTCCTCAATACCTGGGGATTACAATTCAAGATAAGATTTGGGTGGGGACAGAAAGCCTAACCATATCAATTCGGTAATTGATTCATGGCCAAGGTGGACTTTAGCCAAGTGTTTCCAAAATCAAAATAAATTGCACAAGAATTATGTGGTGTAAACCTAAATATATAACTTTTGTATCTGAAATTCAGCTTTAAAAGTCAAATTTATCATGTATTTATCTCATATATTTCTTACTATATGGATTTCTCTGTTCTGCTAGATCAGTGATCAGCACACTATGGCTTGTACCCCATCTACCACTTGTTTTTGTAAATAGGTTTTATTGAAAGAAGCCATGTGCATTCATTTGTATATTATGTATTATTGCCTTTTACTACAGTGGCAGAGTTGAGTAGTTGCAACAGAAACTATGTGGCCTTCAAAGCCTAAAATAGTCCCTGTCTGGCCCTTCACAGAAAAAGTTTGCTAATCCCCGTACCAAATTTTAAGCTTCATAAGAGTTTTCTGTATTAAATCACTTGCGTGCTCCTGCATCTGGAAAAATTCTGGTTGTACTCTGTAGGAATTTTTTGAAGGGATAAGTGAATTGATTACCTTTCTATTTTTATATTAAGGAATATAGTAGTGTATATTCAGTTGACATTTATAGAGATTAGTTTTTTAGAAATTAATATTGAGTCTGCATTTCTTTATTGATAAAACTATTTTGAGTGCTTGTAAAATTTTTAATTGGGGGAAATTAATCTCTAGAGAAGAAAAAATGGCCCATATATTATGATGATTGGCATAATGTAAGCCAAACATGAATGAAAAACACAATGTTTTCTCCACCGCTGTTTGCTTTTGTTTCTTTTGTTCTCATATGCATAGCTTTTTCTAAAGAGTGGTTTTCAGTTCTAGAATAGGTAGAGATTGTTTTCTCTAAATACCATTTGTTCTAATACTGTTTGTGAACATATTTATGTTGTCTTGCATATTAATACTTAACAGATATTTAATTTAAAAAGGAAACAAAAACCTAGTCTTTTGTTTTTTTCATTGCATTAAGAAATTAAATGAGCAAGCCGCAGAACTCTTTGAATCTGGAGAGGATAGAGAAGTAAACAATGGTCTGATTATAATGAATGAGTTTATTGTCCCATTTTTGCCATTATTACTGGTGGATGAAATGGAAGAGAAGGATATACTAGCTGTGGAAGATATGAGAAATCGATGGTGTTCCTATCTTGGTCAAGAAATGGAATGTAAGTTTAAACAATGGTAGTATGCAACTGAGTTGTTGGGGTTAAACACGGTTAGATGTTATTCTTGCCATTTTTTATATTAAATATAAGTATTATGTTTAATATTTTCACATGCACATTATTACTCTTTTTCCGTATCGATGACCTAAGCTGTGTGCATTGCATTTGTCTCCCCAAAATGGCAATTATCTTACGTATTATGGCAAGTCAGTATTAATGAATCATGTTGAGAATGATCATGTGATAATTTCTATCTTTAGTTAAATTGTTTGTATTTGCAGCACACCTCCAAGAAAAGCTGACAGACTTTTTGCCAAAACTGCTTGATTGTTCTATGGAGATTAAGAGTTTCCACGAGCCACCGAAGTTACCTTCGTATTCCACGCATGAACTCTGTGAGCGATTTGCCCGGATCATGTTGTCCCTCAGTCGAACTCCTGCTGATGGAAGATAAACTGCACACTTTCCCTAAACACACTGTATAAACTCTTGTTAGTTCTTAACCCTTGCCTTTCTGTCACAGGGTTTGCTTGTTGCTGCTATAGTTTTTAACTTTTTTTATTTTAATAACTGCAAAAGACAAAATGACTATACAGACTTTAGTCAGACTGCAAACAATAAAGCTGAGAATCGCATGGCGCTCAGGCTTTGTTTTAACCAGAACTGATGTATAATCACAAATCTAATTGATTTTATTATGGCAAAACTATGCTTTTGCCACCGTCCTGTTACAGTATTACATTGCTTTTATCTTTTCTTTCTCAACAGCTTTCCATTCAGTCTGGATCCTTCCATGACTACAGCCATTTAAGTGTTCAGCACTGTGTACGATACATAATATTTGGTAGCTTGTAAATGAAATAAAGAATAAAGTTTTATTTATGGCTACCTATGTGTTTGTAAGCAGGTATATTGTATATTAGTGTATTTAGTAATAATATATAAATGAATTTTGTTTGGGGATTAAGATTGGGCAGTGAATAGATTAATAGTCTTTTAATTCTGCTCTAATAGTAGCAGATTGGAAAATTTTTAAGTATTTGACACTTACATTTATCTATATTTTTGACAGAGTTCTTGAACTTAGTATGGCACTTGAACCTGTTTTGAATTCAGTCAGGTTTATACTCAAGTAAGTGGTTAATTTTTAAGTCAAACTACACTGAAACTTTTAACCTTTTCTTAGATTAATCTTTTTAAATGTACTTAAAATATATAGCAAGGTGATTATTTCAAGAGAATCCCAAAGTACTTCAATAAGGGCTATTGTAAAACTTAAAAGAAATATTTATATATGCACATGTATACACATACACACATGTATATTCTTCATAATGGAGGGCAATGTTTTGCAATATATTTGTCATTCTATTTTTGTAAATTGTGTATCACTTTAGTTGAATATGTTCTAATTAATACTGTGGAACAAAATTGATATTGTTTAACCAGAAGTTACGAATATCTTAACTGCCTTTATTCCTTTTCAAAAAGAAAAAAGCTATAGAACATTTTGTAGATGAAACTACTAAGATTAATGAATTAATATTGTGAATGAAAATCAAAATCCATACGTTAATCATGTTGCTAACAACCTATTTTTTGAATTCATAAAAATTTCTTTTTAAATGATGCTTTGTGAGCATAGTAAAATAGACCATTATACTATGTGTATATTTGATACAGTGTCGCCAAAACTAGTGTTCTTTGTAAGTGCCTCTTACAAAAGATCCTGGATGGAGGAGTAAGAAAATATATTATGCTATTGTGTGATGCTCTTTGTAAAGGTGTCAATGTTCTAATAAGATATTAATGACAAGGAATTGGTACTATTATTTTTGTAAAGTTAGATTTTGCATATTGTACCTATCAAAATATGTTTGGGTTTAAATTTTAAGTTGTCTACTGAGCAGAATTCTGCATTGGATTTTTCCAGTCCTGTTAAAAATTTAGAAACTTCATATATGTTATCACAGTTTTTGTAAAGTATCCTTAATATTTAACGTTATTCTACCACAGTGATAAAGTTGTTTGTATTTGTGTGTATAATTGACTGCCGAGACAGAAAGTGCTCAAACACCATATGAAAGTTATTCCTTTCAAATGCACATCCAGAGAATTGTGTCACTCTTGCCCTGAAGGTAAGTAGTATTATTGTATTTACTATATACTTAAAAACCAGGTTATTCATTTCTAGTAATGAATTTGAAATTACTTATTTAAGGTAGTTTTTTTTTTTTAATTGCATTTTAGGTTTTGGGGTACATGTGCAGAACATGCAAGATAGTTGCATAGGTACACACGTGGCAGTGTGATTTGCTGTCTTCCTCCCCTTCACCCACATCTGGCATTTCTCCCCATGCTATCCCTCCCCAGCTCCCCCGCCACACTGTCCCTCCCCTATTCCCCCCAATAGACTCCAGGGTGTAGTGCTCCCCTCCCTGTGTCCATGTGTTCTCATTGTTCATCAGCTACCTATGAGTGAGAATATGTGGTATTTCATTTTCTGTTCTTGTGTCAGTTTGCTGAGAATGATGTTCTCCAAATTCATCCATGTCCGTACAAAGGACACAAACTCATCGTTTTTGATGGCTGCATAATATTCCATGGTGTATATGTGCCACATTTTTCCAGTCCAGTCTATCATCAATGGGCATTTGGGTTGATTCCAGGTCTTTGCTATTGTAAACAGTGCTGCAGTGAACATTCATGTGCATGTGTCCTTACAGTAGAATGATTTATAGTCCTTTGGATATATACCCAGTAATGGGATTGCTGGGTCAAATTTTCTCCTATTCTGTAGGATGTCTCTTTACTCTGTTATTTGTTTTGCTATACAGAAGTTCCTTAGTTTAATCAGATCCCATGTGTAAATTTTTGCTTTTGTTGCAATTGCTTTTGATATCTTCATCATGAAATTTAGCCCATTCCTATGTCGTGAATGGTATTGCCTATGTTTTCTTCTAGGGTTTTTATAGTTTTGAGTTTTACATTTAAATCTTTAATCCATCTTGATTTTTTTTGTATGGTGTAAGGAAAATGTTTAGTTTCAGTTTTCCAGTGCTGGGCGATTCCTCAAGGACCTAAGGTAGTTTTTTCTATACCTACAGAAGCAACTTAATATTTGTTTATAATGTAATTGTCAGATTTAGATTATTGAAATTTCTTTTTTAAAAAAATTTTCAACTTTTAAGTTCAGGGGTACATGTGCAGGCTGTGCAGGTTTCTTACATAGGTAAATGTGTGTCATGGTGGTTTGTTGCACTGATCAACCCATCACCTAGGTTTTATTCCCAGCATCCACTAGCTATTCTAACTGATCCACTTCCTCCTCCCAACCCCCACCCTCTGCCAGACACCAGTGTGTGGTGTTCCCCCCACCATTGAGGCCATATGCTCTAATCATTTAGCTACCACTTACGAGAACATGCAGTATCTGGTTTTCTGTTCCTGTGTTAGTTTGCTCAGGGCCTCCAGCTCATCCGTGTCTCTGCAAAGGACATAATTTTGCTTCTTTATGATTGCACAGTATTCCATGGTGTATATGTACGTTTTCTTTATCCAGCCTAACATTGACAGGCATTTAGGTCAGATTCCATATCTTTGCTATTGTGAATAGTGCTTCAGTGAACATGCACATGCATGTAACAAAACAATTTGCATTCCTTTGAGCATACATCCAGTTATGGGTTTGCTAGGTCAAATGGTATTTCTGTCTTTAGGTCTTTGAGGAATTATCACAGTCTTTCACAGTGCTTATATTAATTTACACTTTCACCAACAGTGTAAAAGTGTTTCTTTTTCTCCACAAACTTGCTAACATCTGTTGTTTCTTGACTTTTTAATAGCCATTTTTAATGGTATGAGGTGGTGTCTCTGTGATTTTGATTTGTATTTCTCTAATGATCAGTGATACTGAGCTTTTTGTCATATGCTTGTAGGCCACATATATGTCTTCTTTTGAGAAGTGTCTGTTCATGTCCTTTGCCCACTTTTTAATGGGTTTTTTCTTCTTCTTGTGAATATGGTTAAGTTCCTTATAGATGCTGGATACAAGACCTTTGTCACATGCACAGATTGTAAAAATTTTCTCCTATTCTGTAGGATGTCTCTTTACTCTGTTATTTGTTTTGCTATACAGAAGTTCCTTAGTTTAATCAGATCCCATGTGTAAATTTTTGCTTTTGTTGCAATTGCTTTTGATATCTTCATCATGAAATTTAGCCCATTCCTATGTCGTGAATGGTATTGCCTATGTTTTCTTCTAGGGTTTTTATAGTTTTGAGTTTTACATTTAAATCTTTAATCCATCTTGAATTTTTTTGTATGGTGTAAGGAAAATGTTTAGTTTCAGTTTTCTGCATATGGCTAGCCAGTTCTCCCAGCACCATTTATTAAATAGGCAATATTTTTCCCACTGCTTGTTTTTTTCAGGTTGTAGAAGATCAAATGGCTATAGGTGCGCAGGCTTATTTCTGAGTTTTAAGTTCTGTTCCGTTGGTCTGTATGTCTGTTCTAGTAACAGCACTGTGCTGTTTTGGCTACTGTTGCCTTGTACTGTCATTTGAAGTTGGGTAGTATGATGCGTCCAGCTTTGTTCCATTTGCTTAGGATTGCCTTGGCTATTCAGGTTTTTTTGTTGTTATTGTCTCATATGAATTTTTAAACAGTTTTTTCTAATTATGTGAAGAATGTCAATGGTAGTTTATTGGGAATAGCACAGAATCTATAAATTGCTTTGGGTAGTATGGACATTTTCAAGATACTGATTCTTCCTATCCGTGAGCATGAAACTTTTTTCCGTTTGTTTGTGTCCTCTCTGATTTCCTTGAGCAGTGGTTTGTAGTTCTCCTTGAAGAGCTCCTTCACTTCCCTTATTTGCTGTATTTCTAGGTATTTTATTCTTTTTATGGCAGTTGAGAATGGGAGTTCATTTGTGATTTGGCTCTTGGCTTGCCTGTTTTTGGTATATAGGAATGCTAACAATTTTTGCACGTTGATTTTGTATCCTGAGACTTTGCTGAAGTTGCTTATCATCTTAAGAAGCTTTTGAGCTGAGAAAATGGGATTTTCTAGGTAGAGGATCATGTCATCTTCAAACAAAGATAGTTTGTTTTCTTTCTTCCTATTTGAATATCTTTATTTCTTTCTCTTGCCTGATTGCTCTGGTTGGAACTTCTAGTACTATGGTGAATAGAAGTGGTGAGAGAGGGCAAACTTGTCTTATACAGTTTTCAAGTGGCATACTTCCAGCTTTTGCCCATTCAGTATATGATATTGGCTGAGGGTTTGTAATAGGTGGCTCTTATTATTTTGCAGTGTGTTCATTTAATATCTAGTTTACTGCGAGGTTTTAACATGAAGTGATGTTGAATTTTATTGAAGGCCTTTTCTGCATCTATTGAGATAGTGTGGTTTTTGTCTTTAGTTCTGTTTACGTGATGAATTACATTTATTGATTTTTATATGTTGAACCAACCTTGCATCCTAGTAGTGAAGCCTACTTGATCATGGTGGGTAAACTTTTTGATGTGCTACTATATTCCATTTGCCAGTATTTTGTTGAGGATTTTTGCATTGATGTTCATCAGGGATATTGGCCTGAAGTTTTTGTTGTTGTCATTGTTGCTGTATGTCTGCCAGGTTTTGGGATCAGGCTGATGCTGGCCTCATAGAATGAGTTAGGGAAGAGTCCCCCCTTTTAATTTTTTGAAGTAATTTCAGGAGCAGTGGTTCCAGCTAACTCTTCTTTGTACCTCTGGTGGATTTCATCTGTGAATCCACCTGGTACTGAACTTTTCTTGGTTGGTAGGCTATTATTACTTCCTCAGTTTCAGAGCTCATTATTGGTCTGTTCAGGGATTCAATTGCTTCCTGGTTCAGCCTTGGGA